AACTGCGGCCTATGCTTTTCTTTCTCTATGGTTAAGTATAACATAACATAATAAAGCAAACATAACATAATGTTGTACATATTATTTTAAATTAATATATTTCTATTGAAACGATTAGAATAAGGCCGCATATTTCTTTACACTAACTGAAAGTCAAAATATACGTACTTTTACGAAACTGTAGAGTAAACCTATGTTTTATCTACTATTTGTTACTTTTAAACGTACCCACTCGTAAAAGTTACAAACAAAATGTTTACCATAAAATATGAAACATTCTCTCAATGACAATTGGCAATATTTAACAAAAGGTCATACATATGTAAAACTTTCAATTTCAATTGGTGTGGAGGCTTTTAAATAATTTCATAGCCATTGGCTAGCGCGAACCCCAATCAATTTAAAAGATTTTGTATCCCAGCAGAACCAGCCGTATATTCCAAACAATATTGGAACTGAACATGGCGAAGAGCAATAAAATAAAACCAGGTTTATAAAATTTGAATATGAACATGCAAATAAGGTACAGGTGAATATTGTGTGAATGTGATGTTATGTGATAGTATGTTATATTCGAATTAGCGATTGGTCGCGACTTCGTCCACGTGGAATTTAATATCCATCATCATCATCATCATCATGTATATCAATATAGTATTATCTTGCATCAAATAGAAATTTAAACATTGTAACATAATAGTTGAATCAGTTGTAACAGTTTCCTTATGTTCACAAATATTTAACTGCACATATCTATTTCTTTGCAATAACAGTATCTCACTGCCCAAAGGGCATTGTCCACTTTGTATAGGGGTTTTGGCTTGGAGTGAACAGTCACTGAGAATAACAACGATGTGTAGAATTAGTAGATTTATTCAGAAGGAATTAGAAAAATAATGAAGTTTTGTGTTCAGGTGTTTCTTAGTTTTTTTAATAAACATTTATAAACAGGGCTTTGAAATATAATATCGAATTTAGTTTACATATTTTTTTATTAATCAGATTCATAAGTTAATAAAATGTTATCTAAGAACTGGGCAGGTGGATTTACAGACTCTTGGTACCTTGCCCAGCTCATGAACCAAATAAAGTCATTATATGGGCACAGAAACCCACTGTCCGACGAGCCACCATGCTGTTGCAAAAATATTGTTTTATACTACCTGTCTGTTATATTATTTTCATATAACATATAAATATAATATATTTTTCTGCTGACACAAAACAGCATACATTCACAAATCACAATACCTACGAATAAAGCAAATGACATTTGTCAAAATAACAATCACAACTCAAAAGTATTGCCTGATGTTGCCATAAAAATCGTAACCAATGAACAATCTTTTTTTCTATGATTCTGGAATTTTGTTATCCTTTATGCCAATGACAAGTAAAATAATAAACAATTTATTCCAATATTTTGGCAATTAAAGTTGATGAAAATAATACAATATTAACTTTAATTCCTTATAAATATTTATGTATAAAAATGCAGTGCCACATGATTTCGTGACTTATGCAGTTTCGATAAATTATTTTTACCACAAACTAAGTTATTAAGTTAATAAATGAGAATAATAATATTATTTTGATCAATTAAAAATAGAATAGTCATAGATGTCATTTAGTTTTTATACTGGCAAGGTAATATTTTAAAATGTCGACAAGACTTTGTTCATATAAATCAATATAAATACTCATTATTGGACATTTTTATCAGTTTGAATCGATACAACCGAAAAATACAAATATTCATGTTTTATTCAGTGAGATTTTTTGGTATAATTGTTTTTATCTAAGAATTCTGTTCACGCGAAGCCAAAAATGGACAATGTCCTTTTAGAAGAAAAGCCTCTTATTTCAAATTTAATTTAGGGTAGGCATATCATAGAATTTCTATCTAAGAAAAAATTGTCTACATTTAACGACCCGTTTTGCGTAGTGCGTAGTGATCGGCCTTTTGCTCCAGGGAGTGTGGATTCGATCCCCACTACTGAAAAAATACTGTATAATGAGCATAGTGTTTTGCCATTGACTGGCTGTTTATATATTTATAATATGTATGTATATTTTAAAAAAAGAAAAGTATGTCCATCATTTATCTAGTATCTATAGTACAAGCGATGTTCTCTAGTCACATAGTTTGGGACTAGAGAACATTGTGTAAAAATGTGTCTTAAAAATGTTTATTACTGACCCGCTAGCAGGGCATATACAATCGGCTGTAGGAAAAAAAATCAGGCCTGAAATCGACACCCCCAGCTTATTAAAGTCTGACCCTTTTTGTCATGAAAATAGTCTACCGAATACCGATAAGTAACCGAACGGCAAGGTTTTTACAAGAAGTCAAAAAAACGTTATTGACAAATAAAAAAAAAAACTGATTTCAAATACGAGTATCTCACTCACTTTGTGTTTTCTATTTGAATTTGAGCTCCCAAAAACAGCACAACCGAATATATATTAATAGTATTTCGCGATAAATGATTTCTATTTCACAAAAGAACCCGAGTCCAATCCCCGGCGCCGGCACCAATGAAATTGTTAATTCTAAATGCTGATTTATCACGTGATCAGCGGTGAGGGAAAACATTTCGAACATATGTGAAGTTCGTCAAAGAGCTGTGAGAACGCGTGGACTCTACCTTAATACCCTCTGTACAGTGTTTGCCCAGCAGTGGGACATATGTATATAGGCTTCTATTCTTTACTTTTGCGTTTAAATGTAAAGTAAGTTTGGCTCTGATCATTGATCAAAGGGTTTATTAGAGAAAATTGCAAATAATTATGACTTGAGAAAAAAAGTCTTATAATTTATATTCTTACCAACTTCAAGTGAGGGCTAAGAAGCCAACTCACTACTTTCTTCTTGAAAATGCTTTATATTATACGAATTTGCACAATTATAAAGAAGAGTCAATAAATTTAATCCACTTCAGACAGATGTGAAATGGCTTATTTCGTGCGGTGTGCTAATAGTTTTGGCGTAAGAAACTAAGCAGTCTATAACTCGCATCTACGCCGCACTTATTGTATTGCATTTTAGTGCATCTAAAGCTTTTCTGACCAAAACTTGTAAAATTATACTGCTTATAAACGTTAAAATGACCTCAGTCTACTGTAAGAATCTAATAAAATTGAACTCGATGAGTGAAATACGTAAGTTCATAATTAAATTTCTAAAGAGAACTGTTAAAAGTATTTGCAAAGAACTCGAACCAAGGCTGCCCTCTCAAGCCGATCGCAGAACGAACTACTCTCACTGAGAACCGCAAAAAGGTTTTATTAAACTATTAGAGTTGGTACTTCCGTGTGGTTATACTAACACGCGACTATATATTGTAGGTTGATTAGAAGCCATACACTTTAATTAAGTGCGTGTTTACGTATTGCACGTTGAAAAACTTAACTCCAGGCCTTCATGCACAAGGATGGTCAAATAAATAACCTCTGAATGGAATCTCAGCCGTTCATTCGTTAAAGTACCATCCCACATGATTTAAAACCTGTTGATATATTTATAGCTCTGGTGGTTAACTTGTTAACTCGGTATTAGCCTGCTAACTATTAAATTGAAGTCACGTTCACGTGAAGTACTTTAGTATGACATAGTTTATACAACTACTAGGCATTTTAATTTCAAGTATAAGACATAAGACATTTAATCCGTCACTTAATCTGTACACAATTATTTTACATTTAGTTACAGTGTTTAAGAGAAAACATTGACAAAATAATGAATTAAAAAGTAATAAAATAAAATAACTTAGTAAGTAAACGTAGTGTTTCAATTATGCGTGGCCCTACCACGCGAAAGTCTTCACTGCTGCAAGAATGTAAGTACCACGACCTCACAGAAGACCGGCGTGAAGTGAGTGTTATCTCTGCGTTTCATCTGGTGTGTGAGGTAGCCGGGGTCGACTTTAAAAAGGTAGCGACGCATCTATGACCCTACGGTTAATAAATGCAAATTTCTAAAAGCATAGTTTAAGTTTCAAATATTAATATGAGTAAAGCGGAAGATAAAACTGCGATCAAACATTTGTATGTACACTTTAGTGTCCCGTCATAAATACAAATCAACGATTTCTGTTGATTACCAAGCCGAGTGCAAACAGCTAAAATGTATCACAAAGCAAACATGATATTGTCGTAATGTAAGGCTCTTGGGCGGTTTTAGAGCATATCACGCGTTGGAACGTTTCGGGCCATTTGCAATTTGAGCAATACATCACATATGGGCTGTGAAATAGCTAATGCAAGCAGTATTCAAAGGACGATTGTTCAACGACCGAGTATGCGAATTCATTATATGTCAATCACTGAATTTTGTCCATACATTTTGTTGTTTTACAATCATTGGCTAATCAATAGAATTTTCGAATAATTAATATAATATAGTGAACGCTAGTAAAACACGTTTTATTTGAAACTGTTTAGATAATTTAGTTTCTTTTTATATTACAGCACAGTTTTAAACTTAAATTTTGTAGTGCTTTTGTTTCACCTATGTAAAAGTAAAGTAACAGCCTATACATGTCCCACTGCTGGGCAAAAGCCTCCTCTATACGGAGGGTATCAGGGCATAGTCCACCACGCGGCCCCACTGCGGATTGAGGGACTTCACATATCTTCGAAATATTTTTTTTTGTTATTATTTCGAAAATATGCAGGTTTCCACACGACGTTTTCCTTCACCGCGGAGCACGTGATAAGTCAGCACTTACTTCATTGGTGCCGGCACCGGGGATCGAACTCAGGTTGCTCGAGTATATTGAATTAAAGGCGAGCGCCCGGACACAGCTATCACGGTTCTAATTATTATAAAATATATTATATATTTATTATAAATTATTCACCTATGTATTACTATATATTTTATTATTTTTATATTGTATTGTAACATTCGTAGAAGAACAGCTGGAATAAACGTTCCCGCTCTACACCACGCCAAGATAAAGAGAAAGCGTTATTAAACTTCGGACGTAACCTGACTAAACGGACGTTTGTGGCAAATCCAAGTCCTGCCTTCCCTCCGCCGCCCTCCGCTCCCCCCTAACTCGCGACTTCATTTCAGAGCAATCAGAAACCACTACAACCTGTCGACAATCGAAATTTTGGTTAAAAACTTGTATATTAAGGGGGGGATTTCATAGCTGAAGTTCTTGGTAGTTATGCGAACTGAATAAATTTCGTGATTTAATTTGAGGAACAGAACAAGTGCGAGTCGGATAGACTAAACATACTCGTAGACATTAGATGTAACCAAAATTACATGAGATAAATTATGTTACCGAGATTATATTTTAATAAAACTAGGCTTGTTTACAACTCACAATAGAAAAATATTGTTTCAATTTATATTTGAGTTTTAGTGTAGTTACTGTATTGTTTAATTATAGATCTAGAAGAGATCATTTGTTATTTAATGTTATTAGTTCTGTCCTATCCTTGTCCTCATTTTAAATACTTTTTGTAATTAATGTCGTAAGCGTCATTTAACTGAAAATGCTGATCAAATTTATAAGATTCCAAAGATGTTCATAATAGACGGATAGAATTTTTGTACGTAAAGATAAAACGTTCGCGACCTTCTTCTTATTTTGTGACGTGTGCTCGTGATGGATGAAACTCACGACGAATGACATATTGAATTCAAGGGGACTAGCGAAACCATACATGTTAATAATTAAATAAATAAATATTTTAGGACACATTTTTTACACAACATTTTCCAGTCCCAAACTAAGCAAAGCTTGTACTATGGGTACTAGAAAACTGATAAACATACTTAAACATACTTTTCGTCTGTAAATAAATACATATTATACATATATAAACACCCAGACACTAGAAAAACACCATTATCATCACACAATATTTTTCCAGTAGTGGGGTTCGAACCCACACCCTCTTGCGCAGGAGGCAGGTACACTACCCACAACGCCATTCGGGTCGTTAAATTAGGGAAGCGACCTTGTTTGTGGGTTGTATTATATATATTCATTATACGAAAGCTACGGCCGGAAGAAGAAAAAAAAAACAAAATATATTTTTAACACCACTTTGATTACAAATTAACTATTACAACTTGGCAATAGCCCAAATTGTTAGACAAGACGGATTCTGCCCGCGACGCTTTCAGCGGTGTTGTGAAACACATACCTTGTGTAGCTGCTTCATTCCCGTGGGGCTACGGCGTAGGCACGTAGCACCGGATAAGTAATCTCGTACGAGTGGAATGTTGTAGCTCGATGATTGCGATTTCCAGGATATGTGATCATTTAACGCATTTCGATACAGTCGACAATGCTTACATTATGTAAGTTACATATTATTACCCCCTAAAACGCTGCGGTCGCGAACTAATTTTAAATTTCATATAAACCATACAAAGTATGTGTTGAGCAAGAAACGCGGAAATTCATCATTAGCAGTTTGATGTCTCAAGTGTAAACAAAGAAAGGCTTCAATACGAAATTTAGTTGAAAAATCATTAAAAATCGTTCCAGTTGAAAGCATATTAACTGGATAACCGAACAACATTAGCGCTGTAAGACAAAAGAAGAAATGGGATAAGAACTTCTTTTTTATTTTTTTAAAAACATTGCCCTCACTTTAGGATAACATTATCCTGTTTTATAAGGACGTTTTACAAACATAAATTGCACGAGGACAAACACCCAGATGCGAAACAACTATCTGTTGTTCGTACAAATAGTTGTCCCGTGTGAGAATCGAACCCACGACCCCCGTCGCCGAAGCCAATAACTCGGCAACTGCGGAGTCATCAACTATAAATAATATAACTATATCGATATTTGCAACTTTTGTTTATCTGCCTAGAATATTATCATTAATTATTCGACCGAGAGCGTTCAGTGGCCAGGCGCTTGCCGAGCAACATGAGTTCAACTCCACTAGGACCCGCATTAATGAAATTGTTAATTTTAAATGCTGATTTACACATTTTACATGTAATATAATTATATGCTCAGCGGTGAAGGATATGGCCTTTGCCCAGCAGTGGGATATGTATAGGCTGATACTTTACTTACTTTACTTTTAATCGGCTTTAATTATAATCATTCACAATAATAAAATTCAAGACAAATAAATCACCGGTCACAATCAGTTTCACAAGCAACCACATTCATGCAACAAAGCCGTTAATTAGAAGTCATTTTACTTACTAGACCTTTCGTAAAGAAAATACATTTATGATTGTTCGTGACATTTGCCTCCGATAATCTCCGTAACAACGATGTCATTTTTTTTTACTAAAAAGGTTTGCTGTATTATAAAATATTGTTATTGTGATTCATGTCATTGACCTTCAGTTTAGACTAATATAGATAGAGCTTTAGCAATAGAGCTTATTAACTCCAAAACCGTACTAATTACGTAACAGTATAATATTAGAGACATGTTAGTTATATTTGAAGATATCAAGGTTTAGCATTAACATACCACTACTACGATGATACTACAAAATCGACGAATTATAACAACTCTGTGGCGCAGTTGCCAGTATTGGCTTCGGCGTCGGGGGTCGTGGATTCGATTCCTACACAGGACAATCACGAGTATTTGTTTGACTCACAGATAGTTGTTTCGCATCTGGGTGTTTGTTCGCGTGAAAATGTTTGTAAGATGTCCTTACGACACAGGATAATGTTATCCTAAGGTAAGTTTTTAAAAAAAATTAAAAAATTTAAATGAAATAACAAAAATGATTTTCAGTAACTCCTATTGAGACTATTTAAAATTAATATTTTCAAATCACAACAAAAAGGCGAAATTGAATCGAACGAAGCTTAAAAGCAGTACGATTTTTCAACAAATCGTGAAAATGAAACTCTTTTTTAAAGTTGCAATATTTTTCCAACCTAACATGTGAGAGAGTGCACTAGTGTTGGCACAAGAGCTCTTGGCAAATATCTTACGTTTGACTTGTGCTTAGAATTTTAATTGTGTACTGTCAGCGTATTAAATTACTAAAGAGTCTAACTTCTCGCTTGGGTCTGTAAGTTGTGTTAAAAAAGTAACAGCCTATAAATATCCCACTGCTGGGCAACGGTCTATGTTTACCTATAAAATTACCGTTCTTCAGTACTGATAATTTAAAACAAAAAAGTTTTGTTTTTACACGAAGGTCATCTATAAACTCCCACTGCTTTGGCAAAGATGCAACGATTGCATGGGTGATTACTTTGAATAACAGAAATAAAAAAATTAAGAAAATATACTTATTTCATACGAAACGGCCTAATATAGAGATATATACAAATGAAAGTAGAGGTGGGTCGAACGGCTCCCCGTAAACGCAATGCAATCGATTGCCGTCGACTTCTGTTTTCCTCGACAGCCCGTATCCCACAATCCCTACACAGACAGTTTTGATTTAACGCATGTTAACATGCGTGATTCTAGTTAGATAGGATCCGTGGATAGACCAAACTTAATCAGAGTTCTGTACTGGATGAAACTTTATATAGTCTATGGGCTAAAAACACAAACATCAATAAAAAGTAGCAAAAGAGGACGGTTATATTTGTTGATCTTGCCAGTGCGTTCTCTTACTGACAGCAAATCCAATATCGGATAACATCGGCGGTTTAGTATTCAAGCGATAGCCAGCATAGTATTAAGACCATATTTCTTCTTAGTATGTATCACTATAAATAATCAGGAACAGTTAAAATAACAGAGCGTCCACACTTGATCAACGTTTATTTCGTTAGTCACAAAAAATTTTTAAGCTACCATCAAATTCATATAATTATTTAAGCGCCTACTTATAATAGAACAATTATAGTCATTGGCACAAGATTGCTATTTTAAATTACAAGTTTTGTTACATTGTTAACATACTTTACACCCTACCACTAAAATACATTATTAAATTAAGGCTAAACTAAGTTGTAACTAAACAATAATAAGTAAACACAAAATAAAAGAAAAAGTAAACAGAATTCCTAATAACTAATATAAACATAATATACTTGCAACCCTAATACATTATTGGATTGCCAAATCTTTCAACTGGTTTCCTAATACGTTTAAGCGGTATCGTATCTGAGTTTTCTGGTGGGAGGGATCGTGATGGTACGTCACTATGTAACTCGGAATTCACTAACGGGTGTGTGGGCCAGAAAATACGTTGTTCTTCCGCCTTGGACACAACATTGTCGCTTCGACTGGGATTCGCCGATAGTACCGTTTTATGATTTGTGCGTAGTTGATCTACATGGCGTCTGATACATTGCCCATCTTCTGTTTCTACGATATAGTATCGAGATCCTATCTTATCTCTTACCCTACCACTTAACCAATTTTTGTTTTGCCGGAAATCTCTTATCCACACTGGGTCTCCGACTTGAAAGTTTCGTTGGGTGCCCCTTGCATTTTCAACTTGTTTTCTTTGTGCCTCAAGGACTCTTTCTTCAGTAGGGCTACCTATTTTTGGAATACGCAGTAAATCAAGCCTCGATCGTAGTCTTCTGTGTAATAATAGTTCTGCTGGTGACTTTCCTGTGGTGTTATGTATTGCATTCCTATATGAAAAGAGGTACGTTTGAAGAGCTAAATCAATATCACAGTTCTCTCTTATAGCTTTTTTCATTGCCCTTTTACACAACTTAACGGCGTTTTCCGCAGCACCATTAGATGATGGATGATAAATAGGCGTGAAAATATGTTTCTATACCATTATTCTTCATAAAGACCGAAAAGTGTGAACTTGTGAAAGGTGGCCCGTTGTCGGACACTACTTGTTTTGGTAACCCAAAACGTGAAAATATTTCTCTTAATACTTTTATGACATTATTTGTTGTAGTATGAGTCATGTGAAATGCTTCTATCCACTTCGAAGATGAATCAACTATAACTAAAAATGTCTTCTCCTTGAATGGACCTAAAAAGTCAATATGTAGTCTGCTCCATGGTTCTGGGTCATAAGGCCAAGGCTGTGGTGTCGCTCGTGGTGGTGCTGCCGCCTCTGACGAACACGCATGACAATCATGACATGTCCTTTCAATATCGGCATCAATTCCTGGCCACCATACGTAGCTTCTAGCCAACCCTTTCATTTTTACAATACCCATGTGTCCCACGTGTAACTCACGTAAAATATACTGTCTCAGGGACTCAGGGATTACCATCCTGTAACCCCACATGATACAATTCGAATCCTAGTAGAGTTCATTTCTTCTTGTAAAATATGGTTGTACTTCCTTTTCTGAGCAGTGTCCGGGCCATCCCGATTGCAAATACATAATAATTTTCCTTAGTATGGGATCAGATTTATTTTTTCTCCGAAACTTGTTCAAATGTTATTGGCAAAAAATCTTGTACATAATGTACATAGGTTTTTTCACATTTTACGTTTCGTGGCTTTCCGATAGGTAGCCTAGATAAGGCATCTGCTCCATTCCTGTTTGTAGGAATATATTCGATCTCATAATTATAACCTGACAATATTATAGCCCATCTTTGTAGACGACTTGCGGCCATGGTCGGGATGCCTTTTTTTTTTTTTTCCCCAAAAATTGCTACTAATGGTTTATGGTCGGTGCACAATAAAAACTTACGACCGTATAAATACTGGTGAAATTTTTTTACACCAAATACAATTGCCACTGCTTCTTTTTCTATTTGCGAGTAATGCCCCTCCGCTGTATTCAGTACACGAGACGCGTAAGCAATGGGTCGCTCACATCCATCGACCATTCGATGCGAGATTACAGCGCCGATTCCACTAGAGCTCGCGTCTGTTGTCAAAGTTATCGGCAATTCAGGATCGTAGTGTGCTAACACAACGCCGGATGTTAATATACTCTTTACCTTATTAAAGGCTCGCGTACATTGATCGGTCCAAATAAATTGAGAATTTTTTTTTTAACAAATTATAAAGTGGTGATAAAATCATGCTTATATTTTTAACAAATTTGGCATAATACATTACCATTCCCAAAAAAGATCGTAATTCGTTAATATTGGTAGGTATACGTACATCTTTAATGGCTTGCACCTTATCTTTACACGTGTGAACCCCTTCTTTACTTATTACAAAACCTAAATATGTCACTGAGTTTGCAAAAAATGTACACTTTTCCTTCTTCACTTTTAGCCCGAAATACTTTAATCGTTCCATGACCTTGTATACCGTATCTAAATGCTCTTTATCATTTTTACCAGTCATAATAACGTCGTCCAAAAAAAACTCCTACCCTGGGCATATCAGAGAATATTTGTTCCAATGTTCGTTGAAAAATACCGGGGCTGGATGAGATTCCGTAGATCAGTCTATTATATTGGTACAGTCCCTTGTGTGTCGAGATAACCGTATATTTCTTTGAATTTTCATCTAGTTCTAATTGCGCATATGCCTGAGATAAGTCTATTTTACTAAATTTTTGGCCTCCATGTAACTTTGTTAATAAGTCTTCTACTCGCGGAAGAGGAAAACGGTCCACTTCTAAGCACTTATTAATAGTAACTTTATAATCACCACAAATTCTTAATGAGCCATCTTTTTTTTACCACGGGTACTATAGGCGTGGCCCAGTCCGAAGTCTCGACCGGCGTGATAATGCCCTCACGTTCCAGACGTTCCAGCTCTCGGGCCACCACCTCTCGCATCGCGTAAGCCAGCGGCCGTGCGCGTCTGAACACCGGTTGCGCCTCCGGTCGCACTCGCAGTGTCACCGTCCCACCAGTAAAACGACCTATACCGTCAGCGAAAACTTCAGAATATCTGGAAAATATAGTTTCCGTATTGAGTAAAAGTGAACTCTCCACCTTATTACTATTACATTGTATAGCATGTAAACTAATGCCTAATTCTTGTAACCACTGTCTACCGAGAAGCGGATTACTTCCACTGTGCACAACAAATAAATCTAATTTCATACATTTATCGTTATATTCTACCATTGGGGAAATTTTTCCCACCGGAAAGATTTTTTCTCCTGTATAATATCGCATTACTAAATTGCTTGTTAACAAAGGTAAATCAAAAAACATTTTTTTATAACATTCGTAACTTACACATGAAATGGCGCTACCTGTGTCTATTTCCATTTTTAAATATTTACCGTTTACCTTTAAAGATAATGTGTACGGTTTATAATGTTTTAAATTTTTTATATTGAAAACGTTAAAGTTTACCTCCCTAATTTCTTCATCGGTGTCCTCTCCACTCGAGGTTTCTTCGAGTCGTTTCACCGGCTGGGCACACACCTGGCCTGACCGGTATTTTGGACACACCTTCATAAGGTGCCCCTCTTTATTGCACACACGGCATGTGTACAATCTAAATTTGCACGTTGAAGTACTATGCTGCCGACCGCATGCTTGACATCTAGCCTGCTTCTCTCTAACTGGTACCAAAGCTGAAGTGGTCTGCCGTGCAGCTCCACCTCGGGTCAATCGGCCACTGCTAAACGAAGAACGATTTGGTGTTGCGGCTACCTCTCGTTCTGTTGGCTGTCTGCTGCGCGCACCTTGTGACTTCATTAGCTTCATTGTGGTACTCTCTCTCTCTCTGTTATATATTCCCGATCGTGATTACTCATTACTGCAGTCGCATTCTTTGCTGCTGCTTCCATAGATATAGCGAGCTGATATACCTTCGCAAAAGTCGGAGTACTCTCGCAACTAAACACCTGCTGCCTTATAAATTCGTTCTTGATTCCACAAGCAAATTGATCTCTTAAATTATCGTCTAAGCAGTCTGTAGTGAATTCACAGCTTTTTGCTAGCTTTTTTAAATCTGCGGCATACTCGGCTAGAGATTCGTTCTGTAACTGGTTTCTTTGTCTGAACTTATACCTTTCTACTAAAATATTACATTTTGGTTGCAGATGATTTTTCATGATGGTCACTAAGTCATCAAAAGACTTTGCAGCCGGTTTTTCCGGCATGCACAAAGTTACCAAAAGATCATAACTTTCTGATCCCATAATTGTTATTAATGTGGGCACTTTTAATGATTCTTTAACGTCATTCACTATAAAATATTGTTCGAGACGTTCAATGTACAAAGTCCAGTTATCCACATTTACATCGAACTTTTCTAATTTTCCAATAGACATTTTTACAAATATATTAAACACTCACGTGGATCGTAAAAAATAACTCGTCGCCAGTTAGTATGTATCACTATAAATAATCAGGAACAGTTAAAATAACAGAGCGTCCACACTTGATCAACGTTTATTTCGTTAGTCACAAAAAATTTTTAAGCTACCATCAAATTCATATAATTATTTAAGCGCCTACTTATAATAGAACAATTATAGTCATTGGCACAAGATTGCTATTTTAAATTACAAGTTTTGTTACATTGTTAACATACTTTACACTTCTATATTTATAAATTATACTGAACATGTGTTAAGTCGATATTACTTATTGGAACGCAAACGGTGACGACTCGAAAGCTTATTATATGGAAGCACTTGGATGTCACTACAAATCACTGGAGCACTCTTCTGTGTAGTGCTTTACATTGTTCTCTGACAGTGATCACGATTGATTTCTCGTGGGCTTACGGCCCAACTTCGGTGACATCTCGCTGTCGAAACTTTGCCCAGTTCTTAAGAGCATTTTACTTTTACAATACTATATATACAATGTTAATTATGATACTATAGCACGTAATAATGATCATTTGAAAATTTATATAGAACTTAATTCTCCTTAACAATAAAATGTGCATACTTTACGGCATGCCTACAGTTTTCAAATAACATTTTACAATGAATATTTGAACGTACAAACAGAAAGTTTCCCTATAACCATGTTCGCGCCTTGACGCGGCGGAGGGGCTTAGTAGCCGTGGCTTGGTCACCCACGGTGAAGCTAAGAGGAACCCACTCTGGGCCGGCCTGTGGTGTAAGACCAGCCCAAGAGGGTGCAGGGGACTGGTCGAGGGTGGTAAAGGTGGAGCCAATCTCTCTGTCTTCTGCTACCGAGGAGGAGTCGCGGGGAAGAGGGGTGTCGATATTACGTTTGGACGCGGTCCCTATCCTCCGCGACTCGGCAGAGCTGCACCACTGATGCAGTGGGGGGGCCGCGGGGGGAGTGGAGTGTCAGTATTGTGGTGCGCCGTTCTCCCTACCCTGAGCGGCCGAAACGTGGTGAGCGGCGGAGCCACAGACCAGGTCCGCCGCTGGGGCCTGGGAGGCTTGTTGTTTATTGACACTGGCTCTCCTGGCTCCCATGGCCTCTGGTGAAAAAGGGGCCGAGTAGGAAGGCGCGCTGAATGTTCCACGCGCCTTACCTGGAGGAAGGGAGTTGCTCACGGAGGGAGCTGCTTAGGCGGCTAGCGCCGGCAGGGTCGCGGAGGGATGCGAAACTGAGCGCGGTAGACAAGAGTACGGTTTTCGTACACATCGAATAGCACTGGACAGCGCATTCGCATCGGGAACATGAGTCGATTTTTTTGACGTCGTCATTGCTACACGAGTACCCAAGAATATCCGTCGGGGCCCGCCATTAAATGAACTAGTTTTGCAGTTTTATCGTAACGTAATCACGATTTTTCATATTATACTTACACCCTTAATGGGGAGACCGTGCCCCTACAGAGGGGACCTTAAAAAGTTGAAGATGATACTTATTTTTATTTACGATGAAATTTAAACCAGTGATGTTAGCCCCCGACGGACATTATTGTTTTTTTTTTATTAAGTTTATAGGTAGTAGTATATATTGAATATGTTATTGCCACGTCTACAATTATCGAGAATCAAATAGGTAGGTGTGAAGGAAAATGCCATGAAAACTGATACTCTATTGTTAATTGATGACTCCGTGACGCAATTGCCAAAGTATTGGCTTCGGCGTCGGGGGTCGTGGGTTCGATTCCCACACGGGACAACTATTTGTGTGACCCACAGATAGTGGTTTCACAAATGGGTGTTTGTCCACGTGAAATTTATGTTTGTAAAACGTCCTCACGACACAGGATAATGTCATCCTCATGTAAGGGCAATGTTTAAAAAAAAACATATGACCGACTCCGCGTGAGATCAACTGTACTAATTAAATTTTTTACGTTTATTATCTCGCGTTACATTTATTTTTTAAGTCGGGGTTTTTTTTATTATTTTAACTTTTTCAATTACTTTTTAACCGTCGTAAAAGAAAAACCATAGAAGAAAGAGCATTTTGCTTTCTTCTTTTGCTCTACATACATTTTTGCGCTTAAATCTCGTACGACGTATGAGTTCTATCGAGTTTCCTAAATATGTAGTAGCTACTATAACTAAACTAAAATAAAATGTATTAATGCAGCGCCCCCTAGTGAGCTACTATCGTAACACCCATTTAAGAACCCTCACTAATCAACTAGAAATCCATTACTGAAAACCGCATCAAAATCGGGATAGTAGTTTTGGTTTGCACAAACAAATGCTTACTGCAGCAATTAAAACCCAAATCCATCACTGAAAAAGGCTACTAGTTTTGGAGAAAAAACGGGCTAGTAGTTTTGGAGAAAAATGGGAACATGGATTTGTTGTCGCCGTAATACCTAGATAGGTGTTATGCAAACATTAATTAAGAACATGCACCAATTAAAACCCAAACCCATCACTGAAAACTGCGTCATAATCGGACTAATAGTTTTGGAGAAAATGGCAACATGGATTAGCACAATCAAACAAGCAAAGAAACATCTCACCCCAAACTGCGATGACGCTTTGGACGCATTTGACGTCCGACAAACGTAAATACATTTACAAATTAAAGCAATTAAAACAAACATTTTTACCTTTCGGAGAGGTGTATCTGTCCATAGGAGATAAGATTAAAAAGTCAGGACATTTTTTCAACAAATGTTGAGCTTCACATGCTTAATTGTATTTTCTTGTCCGCAAGAACAAAAATCGTTTAAATTCTTCGAAGTCACATTACTTGCGAGTACTCGACGCGCGCTGTCGTAGTGTTCGATTTTTTTAAACTGCCCGCATTCGGAAAACTCGCATGGCGAAACTTCCCGCTCAATAAATTTCATAAGACCGTCTACTTGTGGAATATCTTGATGGCTAACTCAAACATAATTCGTAACGTTTACGAATGTTAATTGGTATTTTACGTAATAAAATACTGAACAATAAAAAATCCCATTCCGCTATTGGAAACTTATAGCTTCTAATGCCGTAAATTAAATAAATTAAATAAATTGAAATTATTGAGTGACAACAAAACCTGAATGATAAAGTAAAAATTCTGCTCGAATGATCAAATAATTTATGTTCAGGAAAGAGCTAAGGGTCTGGTAACTCACCGATCGCCGCCTTCCACTGACTCACGCTGCTGGGGCTCGACGAACTGCTTGGCTGATTCGGTTTCTCGAAAGAATATAACCCTTTCTCTCAAAATAGTACTCCCACAGGTCACTAGCACAGTATTCTTCGGGTATTGTTCGTTCTCGTCGTACTTGTCGAAAGCAATAGTTAACGTTTCGATGGACGGCGCGCAAGTATACTACTCGCGCGGCCAAACAGAGGCGAGCGCGGTTTCCAGCGTTGAAAAGGTTACCAGACCAAAAAATATAAAAAATCCCTATAAATTTAATAATTGTTGCGCCTCGCAATTTAAATGTAAATAACGATAGCGAAAAATAAAATCAATTATGAAAAATGGTTCCGGTACGGAGCTCAGAGTTTTATACGATTTATTTAATATATTTCATATTGAAATTCCTACACAGCTGTCGGTGTAGATTTTACGAGGAGATTCACTTTACTTAGCAGTTTGTTTGCCAAATATTCGGAGGTGCGGTGTCGTACGTGATCTTGTCGACGGTACACCGCAATACTAACTGAAAATTGGGCGTAGTTTCGTACATACTTTATGAATGCAAATCGAACGAAACAAAAGAAGCTTCGGTTAAAACGTATTACTTCATTTTTATTACCTGCGTTTTACAGCAGCCAACCAAAAACTGAAATCAACAAAATGGGTAAGATATTGACTTAAACTCAAAGAGATCCGTATATTTGCGAAAGTCATGTGCTGGGTCTAACGCGCACTCTCACATGTAAGTTCACAGAAGTGAGTTTTAAAATTAGTTATTTGTTAGTGTGCAGTATTTAATTGCGCCGACTCCACTTTTCACAAATTGAAGAAGGAAAAGAATGTAATTGTAGTAGGAGATTCACTCTAACGCACACGTCTATTTCATATTAATAATGCTAATATATAAAATAAAATAAATACAGAATCCATTTCGCTCATTAATATGAAAAGTCAAGGAATCACCTCACTGCCTTTTCTGAACTAGTACACCGTCCCCATGATTAGATTCTTTTTTTTTTGTAATTTATGTACACAGAGTATATTAAAGAAATGTAATTACATAAAAATATTTGTTACAAAGCCCTCCTAACTGTATCAGTCTGTGACAAGAAATTGGTCACAAATGGTATCAAAATTGGTAGTTAATGGTGTACATATATAATTATGACAGATAATTAATGAACTTCGGTTTGTTTTTCGCTGTGTTAAACAAATTG